GGTGGGTGGGAGGTTCTCTGCAGGGTTTTGGCCGCGTCCGCCTTCATCGCGGTGACGCAGGTGGCCCCCATCTCCCCGGTCAGGGACCGGATTTCGGAGACCTTGGCGTGGCTGCGGTCGAGGGCCACGATCTGGATTAACGAGGTGGGGCCGAGTGGGCCGGAGGTGGGAGCGGGAGCTGGGTGGTAGTGGCAGTTGCGTTGCGTTGGAAGTGCCACGTGGGGGAACACCTCTGTGTGCCACTCATCTGAACCCCGATCTTATTCCCCCTAACCCCTCCCCTCCCCCCTCCCTCCCTCCCTCCCCCCCTTCCCCCTCCCCCTCCCCCCCTTCCCCCTCCCCCGAACCCCCCTCCCCCTAACCCCCCTAACCCCCTCCCCCTAACCCCCCTAACCCTAACCCCCCTCCCCCTAACCCCCCTCCCCCCTCCCCCCCTTCCCTCCTTCCCCCAGCACCCCCTCACCTCCCCTAGGTTCCCCATGATCTGGGCCAGCAAGGTGGTCTTCCCCCCTGGAGCGGCGCACATGTCCAGCACCCGGCTCCCGGGAGGGGGACACAGCGCCAGAGCCGCCACCACGCTGGGAAGGTTCTGGAGCATCACCCACCCCGGGGGCAAACCGCCTTAGGCAGGGCGGGAGGGGGGAGGGGAGGGAGAGTTAGCCTGAAGGAAAATGACGGAGGGAGGGAAGGGGTGCCTGGTGGGGGAGGGGGTTGTCTATGGCTGGTAATGGTGGTGGTGGTGGTTTAAAGAGCGGGAAGGGAAGGCCAGAACCAGCCCAGTTCCCCTACTCAGGCGACATCCAAATCCCGCCCTCCCCCTTTTCCACCCCAATTTCCTACTCCGCGTGACACCCCGTCCACGCGTTCTTTGCCCTTCCCTCCCTTACCCCACCCACCCACCCACCCACAGCAGGTGGTACTCGGAACACGGGAGCCACCACCTCCAGCGCCAGTCCCGCCCTGGAGCGAAACATCTCCTGCCGGGGGGTTGGGGCCCCGGGGGATGATACGGAGGTGGAGGTGGAGGGGAGAGATTTGGGGGACCAGCGGAGAATGTGTGGTGATCGAAATCGAGAATGTGTGTATGTATGTATGTATGTGTACGTATTTGTGTATTTGTGTATGTATGTATGCATGTATGGATGTACGTACGCCTCTACGGAAGAACGGGCACAGTGGTGCTACACTAGAGGGCATTAGGCGGGAGAGGGTCAGGCAGGGAAAAGGGGGTCCTAGGGTGAGGACAGCATCAAGCAAGGCTGCGAGAAGTGAAAGAAATACGCATGTACACAGACACACGTGCGCGCGCACACACACACACACACACACACACACACACACACACACACACACAGACACAAATGTGCTGATGCTCCGCCGATATCTTTTGTCTTGTCTCCCTTTGAGCACCGGTCGGTCGGTCAACCCTCCGCTTTCACGGGAAGGGTTCCTCGTGGCCCCCCCATCGGGGGGGGGGGAGCCCAGGGGGGAGACCACCTAGCCTGTGTGCTTGTAGCCGCATCGCACACGCTGTGATATGACCAGCAGTATGACCCTCTGCTTTGCCCGCTAGCTTATGAGGATAGGGAAAATAGGTGGTTGTATAGGTTCTATCTGGTCAGGACTTCAGGGGGTTTGCCCTCTTGTGCCCTCAGTTGTGTACTCAGTTACCTATCCGCCGCCCACCACTATTACCACCACCAAACCTAGTCTCGCCCTTCACTTACCAACAGCGCCGCCTCCGCTTACTTCTACTCTGGGCTCTCTACAACGTCACTCTTCTGTCCAAAATCCGCTTGGTTCAACTTCAAATTCATATCTATATTCCAGCAGCTACGTCCGTCCGTCTACAGTTTCACACTGGAAAATTCTACCGCAAGTCGCTGTCGACCACCACTGCTAGGAGCCCCTCGCTTCGGGGTGAAGTAAAAACATCGTGTACCACCATAATCGGCATTTCCCTCATAGCGGCTCACATCATTAACACACACACGCACACCGCTGGTCCCCAACCGGGTGAAGCAGATCGCGGTGTTAAATGCTGATGAGATGAGACACTGGGCTCCTCCGGTGCGCGGGGCTCTGGAGGGGGAGCTCACCATAGAGATCTGCACACTCAGCCGCGGGTCAGTGGCGGAGTAATAATCCTGCAACGGGCCTGTACGAGAGGCTGTATACACAGGGTGGTGCTGGTGGTTGGATGACGAAACCCCGGGCGGCTGTAGAGCATGCGCTTTCGGTGGAAGGGAGGTTGCTTGGCATCTGAGCTGTTGTGTGTGTGTGTGTAGCTGGCTGGAGGAATCGAACAGGTGACGGCGCCTTGCGTTGATAAGGGAGAACGGTTAGGATTTGATCGATGTAATATAACTCCCCTCCAATGATGGAGTGCTTCGGCGGTCGTTCCCGTTTGGGTAGGTAGCTAGGTAGGTAGGTGCCACTGGCCAGCGTCAGGCCCGAATCGATATGTAACAGGTATATACACACGCACACACACACACACACACGTGCGCGCGGGCCCTCTACTCCGCGGCCCCTCCTCGGCTCCGTACCTGTCGGGACATGGCCGCCCTGGCTACACCGACATACATACCCTGCCTGGGGGGTATGGGGCCCTGGCTGCTGGGGGTCCAGCCCGGTGGTGGTGGCGGTGGTGGCGGTGGGGTGGGCTGAAGAGACGGCTGCAGTACACCCACACCCACACGCCCACTCGCGTGGGGAGGTTCGGGACCCAGATTTGTACGAGCATCATCATCATCATCATCATCATCACCAGGAGGGGGAGGCGAGGTAGCAGCAGCGGCAAGGGGGGTGGAGGTACCCGTGCCGGCGGTGGAGACACGGGCGGTCTGAGGAGGAGGCGCCGCCGCCGCTGTTGCCTCATCGGCCTGATAGCGGCGCCGCTGGCGGCGGCGCACAGAGCGACCCTTCGGTCCTCCGTCGTCGCCGTCCCGCACGTTGGTACGGTTGGCGGGAGCGGCAGCGGCCTCCTCCTCCGCCGCCGCCGGCATCCTCGCCACCCCATCCATCACCTCCTTTTCCTCCCCTTTTGCTACTGCTAGCGCTACTGCCTCCTGTTCCTCTCTTTCTCTTTGCTCCCCTGCTGCTGCTGCTGCTGCTACAGGCCGCGTGTAGAGGGTGGTGCCCCGGGTGACTTCGGGGACGTCACTGTGGGTTTGGGGGGCGGTGGGGGTTGGGTTTTTTGGGGGGGGATAGGAGGTCAGGGAGAAAGTGGTGATAGTGGTGGCGGTGCTGATCTGTGCACTTTTGGCCGAGATGAAGATTTAGAGATATCCACGATGTCCGAAAAATGAAGCCCCCTAGGGGATTGGAAGGGGATTGGGTGGGGGGAGAACAATAAGGGACGCGGCTGTCCTAAACCCACATATCTTTGTCTGTCTGTCTGTCTGTCCCCACCTTACCCTTCCCATATACCCCCGCACCCCCACCTGCCCTGCTTCTCCCGGCCCACCGCCAGCGCCACCAGCTCCCCCCGGCCCAGCCCCGCACTGGCCGCCAGCACCCCCGGCGCGAACACGGGCGCCCCGCGGAGGACGGCCTCCCCCGCCTTGCGACTGATCAGCACCTCGCGACCGCCTTTGGAACCGGAGGGGGAGGGAGGGAAGGGGAGGGAGGGGGAAAGGAGGGGGAAAGGAGGGGGAAAGGAGGGGGAAAGGAGGGGGAAAGGAGGGGGAGCGTGGGAAGTGATGTGAGATGCAAAATCGTTCAAGGTAAACAGGGGGCTGCCGAGCGACGCCCACAGCGGCAACTGCCCCCGGAGTCCTAAAGGGGTTGGAAGGGGGGAGGGAGAAGGGGGGAGGGAAAGACGAACCACAAACGAGTGAAGCTGCTGCCAAGTAAAGACGTACAAGAAGCAGAACTGACCAGTACGGGGAAAGGGGGGGAAAGCTGGGGAAACGCGAATCAGACAAACCACTTGTCGCAAAACACTGTGCCCAGGGAAAGTGACACGGAGGTGGCCCTCGAGCACCAGAGGGGCCCCAACCCGGCCCTTATCCCCCCCTACTACCACCACACGGACACGTACTCCGCCGCAACATCCCCGAGCGAAGACTGCATTGGGTTTGACACAAACTGCATTATGAACAAAAGGGCCCAGAGGAGAAAACACACCTCCAGATTCTGTCTCCGCGTCTTTTTCCTCCTCAATTTCCTTCCCTCGGTACGGCACCCCGTACCCACTCTCCCCCACAGATTCGCTAAGGTGTTTTTCCCTGGTAAGGGTAAAGGCCACGACGCGCACGTACGCGTATGTGTGTGTGTGTGCTATTGCCACGCGGGAACCAAGACCGTAGGTGTCTAGCGAGGTTCCCCCTGTACGGAATTTGCGCTTCGTCGTACTATGCCGTACCTGTTGCGTCGTACGACACCTCATGTGGCCCACTACCTTGTAGGATGACGGCACACGGCACCTGTATGTATGTACGTCAGTCAGGGGGGAAAGAGGCTAAGATGGTGATGGTGACGAGGAGGGCGAGGGGTATGGGAGGGGTAACCGCGGGAGGATGCATGGCGCGTGACGGGAAACACACACGAACCGACCTCCTTCCCATCCATGCTGGAGTGCCGCGCCATCGCAGGACCATGCTGTTAGTATAAACGTTCTCCCAAAACACACACACACACACACACACACACACACACACACACACACACACACACACACACACACACGGGTGTCCTGTCCAGTCCCATGTCAGAGAGCTGCCCCTACTCAACGGAGCAGGTGCTGGATCTGCCCCGCCGTGAGGTCGTACACATACATAGATACAGACAAACAGACAGGCACAAGGACTGGTTTCAGCTCCGAATCCAGACCCCGCTGCCAGAACCGCCCGCCCTACCCACCCATCTACCCAACGCCATGACGCCTACAACGCCATGACTATCCTGCGGCGGTTTGTCACCTCCTGCCTGTACATCCGAACCCCGCCACCCCGGCGCCGCCGCCCTCCCCCCCTTGTCCCACCTGCGGGTGTATTTGCGCCACCTGGGGATCCCACCCCGCAGCCACCAGCACCTCGCGAACACGGGCTAGCACTGCCTGCGGGATGACGGAGGTGGGGGAGAGTTGCAGATGAATATGATGTGTGCGGGACAGGGGGGCCAAATCTTCACCCGTGGCCGCTACCCGGCGAAACCCTGTGCCTTCCCCGGTATTTCGGGGCACCCTCATCCAGTCACCCTAGCCGACTTCTCAGTGGATCGCTCAGGTTCTGCACCCACCACCGGCATCCAACGGAATCTGCCGGGTCGACGGCGGCTCAACTCCATTCCTGGTCGGCTCGCAGGCCCATTTTGTCCCAGATCACCACCGTCCATCGACTAGGGGCACTCTCACCTTCCACCCAATCGGAAGGATTTTCGACCCTGACAGGTCTCGATCCCGGAACCTCCGGGGGGCATCAGTGTGTGCGTTATCAGTCGTGCCTGAACTGATACGTGCGTATGCATGTATGTCTGTATTAAGGGGCAGACGGGACGGGGTTGTGAACAGCCCTTTTCCCCCCTTCCTCCTCCTCCTCCTCCTCTTCCCGTCGGCCCCCCCTCGGTGTACTGAGCCCTGGCCTGACTCCCCTTCGCCCCTATCGCTTCTCACCGTCCCGTAGCGCTGGGTCCATGCTGGACATCAAACGGGACTGGTATCTTATCTTTCACATGCTGCTGCTTCCGGGCATGTTGCTGCTTCCCCTCTGCCCTGTCCCTAGCCGCACACCTCCCTAGCGGCACACCTCCCTAGCCGCTCGAATGCAACCGGTGTGTTTAGTGCAGGACTCCTCTACTGAATTGCATCTCCCCCAGTCGATCTTCCCCCCTCCTTTAGCGGCCTCATTTCGGGAACTCTCCCCACTGCAACCACGTGTCGAGTCCGAGCCCGAGTCCGCACGGGGCTGCCGGGTTATTAAACCCCTTTTTCCCCCCTCCTTTACCCCCTTTCCCTCCTTTCCTTTACCCGCCTTCGTATTTCCCCACTCCCCCACTCCCCAACTGCGCCCCAGCTCGCCTGCGGAGTTGATTTGAGCGTGTTGACCCGCAAGCACGTGCTGCGAGGGGGCCGACTGAGAGCGGCAGCGGTGCGGAGGAAGCGCTCATCGCCCAGAGCTCCACGTAGGTAGGACTCCACCTGTGTATCAGGGGGTCGGGGGGGGGGGTTCATACGCAGAAATTATCAGGCTGGGGAGGGAGGGAGGGGATGAGGGGGTAGATATGAGGGGGGGGCGTCAGAGACCCCCCGCGCGCATACCTAGAAGCGAAATTTGGGAATGGGGAGGAGGGAGGCAGGGAGAACGGCTTGAGAAGGAGAGTTTGAGGGGGAATCGGTAAGCGAGGAGATGGGAAAGAGGTTTCACGGATTGTGGAGATTGTCAAGTGTGGCACTGGGGTCGTGGGTGCTGGGGTACAGGCATGGCGGCCATATCGATGGCATTGAACTGAAATGGGTGATGAACTAGGTTCAGCAGCTATCCTAGAGGTTTATCTAGGTACCCACCTCAGGATCCCATACAACAACTGGCGCAAAATCCTTGCGAGCTTCGGCCATGCTAAAGTTTTCAAACGCCGATGGGAACAGCTGCGGCAGTTGGACTAGGCGGCGCAGTACGGTCGCGTTATATTATGAACAGAATAATTTTTGTCGACATCCTCATCATGTATCAGGATGCGAATGCATTCATGCATGGATGGTGTGTTTTCTCGACCTCGCCCAGCAAGTACGGCAGTCCTGGAGCCTAAGACATTTCTCGCAGCAGGCACGGAACATACATGCTGAGCAGTTACCAAACCAAACCAAGCATACCAGTTGATGATTGATTCTAAGTGTGAATTTAACCTTTAGCTTTAGGAAGGAAGGTTACCAGAGGAGACGTAGCTGTTCAACATGCCATGCCCTTTTGGCTTTACGGCTAATGAAGCCGATGGCGATGGGGAGCTTTCAAGTGAAGGCGAGCAGTCAGAGGATAGAGGAGAAGCAACCAAGGACTCGGAGGATGAGTCCGAGCGCACTGAGCGAGCAGTACCTGCCATACAGAGTGGAACTGCCAACGGCGAGGCAGGGAAGAAGCAAAAGAAGAAGGCACGTGGATAACCCTCCTTAACAAAAGGTTCTCATGCATAATTTACTGACGGGAGACCTTTTGTAACTACTTCGCAGAAGGTGAAGATTGAGGACATGACCTTTGACTTTGACAAGGATCCGGTGTCATGGTTCTACCAGGTATGCATCATGTGAAATGAACAGTGCACATGCCGCTACCATCATGCAAATTGTTTTGCCTCACCGGAACGATTTGATTGACAGAACCAAATAAAAAGTGAGGCAGAATTTGTTAAGAAGAAAGAGGCGCTTCGGACAGAGGCGCGAAAGCGGTGAGGGTGTCCATGCCGTCGAGCTTGCGGAGAGTGCCCTCCAATTTCAAGGCCCACGGTTTACAACGTCACCTTCCTCGCCGCAGGCTTGACCAGATAATGTCAAAAAAGAGCAAGACGCTGGAATGGCCCTCGGATTCTGACCTGGACGAGCTATCTATACGCAGCAGCGAGCTGTCGGACCTTGACAGCGACGTCGACTCGCTGGGCTCCATTGTGAGGTAAGATTGGGTGCAACGCAACTTCTGAAATCTTTACCGAATGATCACATTATTTGCCCAAGGATGCTGCGCGCCTTTCTGTCATACCCCATGATCTGTTTCCTGCACCCCACTACCTATTACTTCGCCACGCTGACGTGCTGTGGCCCCTTGCCTTTTCCCCGTCCTAACCCTTATCACCAGCTGTGCAAACTCGTGGATTGAGGACGCCCGCTACGCCACGCCAGCTGAGAAGACGCTGTCGTTCGTGTCGTACCTGTCTCTTGTAAGCCTCAAGGGGTTTCGTATCGTAGTCCTGATGCCTTGAAAACCCCGCGTTAAAAAAACCCAATTGCCTGTTGTCGAGCTGCTAACTACAGAAACCCAAATGGCATTTTCCGGCGCGAGTTGCGCTTTGCTCAGATTTGCGCACACCTGCAGGCCTGATTTCCGCACATTTGTTGTCTTGGTTTCTCCGCCCTTCTCTAGCAGTTACTGACGGGCTACTCTGCGCCAGCGTGTGCGCCCGGCTGGTAGTGTGAAGAAAGCATACGCAACCCAACCATGTGGTTACCGCCCTTGCGAAAGTGGGAGGGGGCATTGGTTACCTCTTACCGTCTTAGCACCTGATTACAGTTATCACCATCACCACCACCATCATTACATTACATTATATTACATTACACCACCATCATATGATTTCCCCTCGTTCCCCCGTTATCCCCTTCGTGATGTGGCGTCAGGTGACCATTGCCTGCAGTCTCTATCTCGCCATGCAAGCCGCCAACTCGGTGCGAAAGGTGCGTTGAGAAGGGAGAGGAAAGCCGGCCTTAAGAAGGAGAGGGGGTTAAGGGGATTTGTGTGAAGAGGGTTGTGGCCTGTAGGGCTGTATAAGCGATAAGGAGCAAGGAGAAGGGGAAGTCGCTGGGGAAGTGGTACGTGGGTGGATACACAGGAGGGCACAGGGCCACCCGGGACTAGATAGGTAGGTAGGTAGGCAGGTAGATAGGCGTGCGGTACAGAGGCTCGGGGTCGGGGTACTGCCTGCAACAATACACTGGATGCATTCCCTCAGACGTAGTGACGTGGTCCGACTCATTCTGGCCTTAGCCCGATCCGGCGCCCAATTGATCTGGGTTCTGGTTTGACCCCCGGGTGGTGGTGGAGCAGGTGATGGGCGTGCTGTCCAACAGCGTGTGGCCCAATGCGGCCTTTTTGTGCGCCGCGCTGCTCGGCGGTACTTTTATCGGGGCGCTGCTGGCTACACGGTACCGCTCCCGGCGCATCTTGCTGATCAGCCAGGCTGCCATGTTGGTGCTGTACTCGGCCTTCTTGGTGATTCTGTGCGGCGTGGTGCTGCAGCCCACGGCGGTGGACCCCAAGGTGGGTCAGTGCGGGGGAGCGACGACCTGGGTGAACTGATGTGAGGGGGAGGGAGGTAGTGCGGCGGGGATTGCTGGGGTGTTTTATATGAATTTTACGGAGAGGGGAGGGAAAGGGGAGGGCAGAGGAAAGGGGAGGAGTGCTTCTGGGCCACACCAGTTCGTAATAGTCTGGGTTGTTTCTCTTTAATTAGGGGCGAGGGATAAATACACAGGACTCGTTAATGTGTCGGATGGATTTCGCTTTTTTCTCTTTTCACGGATCTGTTTCCGCCGGTTCCGCCTTTTTCCTTTTCTTTCCATTTTTCTATGCCCTTGCATCACCTGCCTGCCCTTGTGCACCTGCACGCGACGCAGCTGCGCGACGTGGCCTGTGTCAAGTACAGCAAATCTGACCAAGGCTCCAGGCTGTGCAAGATGCTGCCCGCCATCGAGCGCAACCTTGCGGACCAGATGTACAACCTTGCTTGGGCTGGCGGACTGGCGGCCACAAGCTCACTGACGTGTCTCACAATCAGCATCTGGTATCTACACGAGCTGGCATACATTGAGAAGAAGGCCATTAAGCACAAGCGCCGCCACAAGCGCCGGAAGCATTCCATTCCTTGGGAGAAGATCAAGATTGTCGGGCCGGTCACCAAGTGTGGCGGTGGCGGCGGTGGAGGTGCGGTCGGCAGCGGTGGCGGTGGCAAGTGCCCTGTCGCCCATGGCGGCGGCGGTGCAGCGGCCCCTGCAGGGAACGTGTCGAAGTTTCCAGTGTCCGGTGGATTAGTTGTTCCCAAATCCGCGGCGGCTAAGAAGAACGAGTGACAGGAAGAACCCCTTGCACAAAGAACCAATCCAGGGGACGTGGAGCGCGACCTACGCAACAGGAACCTCAAACCTCGCATGCTGGCTTACACGGTGGCGATGGTAATGGTGGTGATTGATGATGGTTGGTTATTGGGTTGGACTGCGGGGTCCAGCTGCAGAGGCGTCGGTGCAGCAATTGCGGCAGTTAATATCGCTGAAATGATGGCGGCGAAACAACAAACGGATGGCGTAACCAGACGTCGTATCTGGAATACGCTGTGATTATGTGAAAGAGCAATCACGGCAGGAGGATGTTGCCGGGGTGCTAGCCGGGGTTTGAGGCGGGCACTTTCCCTGGTGTGAAACAGCGGGATGATTTATCATAATGATTGTCTTAAAATGGTGAGCGCATGGCGCTCAGAACTTCTGCGCTATGCGACACACGACACGGTGGTTGCGGCGGTTGCAGCGTTGCAGCCCCGAAAAAAACTTATGTTTATGTGATAATGTCTGCAAACATGTACATGTTTGTGCATCTCCGCCTGTGCGCAAGCCTTATTACGTACTTGTACATGCCTGCTCTTTTCATTGCTGTTGCTGCTGCGGCGGCGGCGACGGCATTGATAATTTACATGTCAGTCGCGAGAATTCAAAGTGCGCGACAGCTTCCAAATCAGTTGCGTCATTTCCCCTGGGCCGCCGCGCACACGCGGAGGGACCGCTTACGCAGGAATCCTTGAACCGAAGATGCTGGTGTGCGCTTTTGAATGAACTGGACCTTGGGGTGGTGGGGTTTCCGTACTTGCCGTACTTGCCCGCTGTGGTGGGGTCAGATGCGACAGGTTGTCGGGGCCCCCACGGGTGTGGTGGGCTCCCGTGCTTGCACCTCGGTGGCAGCAGCAGCGCTGCCATGGTCGCCGGGTGCTTCGTGGTCTTTGTGGTCTTACTACGACAGAGTTAATTACCAGGGGGCAGTTAACCGTCCCCGTGTTTCGATGTGTGCATGTAGTGATTTTACGTCGTGTACAACAGGTTTTATTTTGTGTGGCACCTTGAACTGTCCTTTCTGGCTCCGGCACGTCATTTTCTGCAAATGTTTGAATGGGTGTACGTGGGTGCATGGATAAGGCGCGCTGTCCTTTTTGCCTGATTGATCTTTCGGCCCTTTCGTCGCTTATGGCTGGTCTAGGAAGGAATGCTAACTGTAGACATGTGTACGATGTTGTACGGCGACCACGTCACAGTCAGATCCTCCAGGTTGAAGGGGCATAGCACCACAGCGTGTTAGCTGGCTGCTGGGTGCGGACCTTTAGTACGACTGCCGCCCTACAACTCGCTCGCCGTACAGAATTAACCGAGAGAAGCTGGCGTATCCTGGGGCGGTACTCTACGGTACCCTAAATGTTGGTGCTTGGAGTTTTATTCCCCGCGAGCTAGCTCCTGCTGTTCTGGTCAGCAAGGGCTTGGACACGGCCTTTTCGTCGCCTTTTGTTGGAGTAAGGCCCATCATCATGACTGACATCTTGTAACTAACATATTCTCAGGATCGCCTTCATTGTCGTCCCCAAGCAATAGCCGTGTCACTTCAGGTCAGGTCAGTCAGGCCCCGATGGGGATTCAAACTCCGTCTCCATTGCCGCTTCCCCCCCTTGGGAAGTCATCGTTACGCTGTCAGGGGCTGTGGGCCCTTTCATTTTTAGAGGGTACCGGACCTCCCTCTAAAGCGCGAAAGGAGGTAAATGCAATCTAGAACGGACGACGAGCTCGCACCAGCCAACCATTTATTAGCCAAACCTGTTGCGGGGGAAATATCTGGAGGGAGGGGAAGATAGCCAAACTGCAGTTCTCTCTCTAGGCGGTTTCTGGAGAGGGAAAACAATACGCCAGTGCTTGGGCCGGAGAACGGACAAGTGGACTAGAGAACAGGACGCAAGAGAACGGAAGGCCCTTCTCTCGCTAGCTAATACGATAGAGCGCTACACATACATGCCAGATGAACGCCTCTCTACAAAGCGTCTTCTTCTTGTTCCAGCGCCCCACAAAATCAAAAGAGAGAAGCAGCTCACGTTCAAGAATGAATAATCGTAAAGTCGCAATTGCCCCAGCTCATCAGACGAGTCAGGCTTGGCGAAGCTGCAATGCTGGGCCTGGAGCAGCAGCGGCAAAGGTTGGCGATCATAATTGATGGTGGCAATTCATTGGTGACCTTGAACTAAAGGTGTGATTAATATAATATACGGGAGCTGCAGTATGTCAGGTGCAGTGCACGAAGGTTTTATTACAGATTGCACCTTTGCACGCATTGCAGGCTCCCCGACCACTGATGGGTGGCTAGTCGCTCTCATGGACGGAGGGTGAGGGATGAGCAAACAGGGCGCATGCGTTGCATATGAGCCGGCGACCCAATGCCGCATACGGTGTGCCCGGACGAATGGAGGAGGAAGTGCTGTGGGAGGACCAGAGTCCAGCTAAGCTGTACGGCGTCCGTTATAATCGCGCCAGGCAGTTACCGCTGGTGTTTTAGTGAGGTGCAAGCTGCAGGGCCCCGATTCTCGGAGGCGCGCTTGTGGGTGCATGTGATGTGGGTGACGTTTTCCCTTCCTTCACGATGACATTTTGCAAATTTTGTCAAAGCGAACTTTGTTTTGTGTCTCCGGGAGCATCTGCGCATCTTGGACAGGCCGTAGCTAGTAACTTCAACCACGTGTCCATTTTCCCTAACTAACTAACTAACGAACTACTGTCAGTTGCCGCTGTTGCCCTAGTTCAGTCCCCGGGTCGCGCTCAGGGCGGGTTGTGAAGGAGGGGCCTCTACAGCTGTTTCATGCGGCGACACCAGCAGCAGCAGCAGTAGCGATAGCAGCACCCATCCATCCATTCATCTACTCGCTCGGAGCCAGTGACAGCCGGTCCGTCCGGATACACTGTACAGTCGCGGCACCCATTTAGCGATACGCCCACATGGGCGGCGCCCACATCTTCCCAGATCTCCACATGCAAACCCATAATCCGTATTCCTTTACATCCGTACATCGCATTGCACGACGATTTGTGCAGCACACACCCATTTCGTATCACACCTGCAGAACGCCTGCCCTCGCAAATGCCTGGGAGCTTGGCGCCGGCAGCGGCAGCAGTAGCAGCAGCAACAACAGTACCAGCATGTGCCGATGTCCGAACACAGCATCACCAGGTGCCGCAGGTGCCGCAGCCGCATCAAGGTGCCGACAGGACCCTCACAACCCCCTTCCCGCTGCACCCTCACCACATGTCGAGAGAGATGCAACCTCATCACCTCCCCCGGGCATCATCACGCATGCGCCACGTGCCATGTTTCACACCAAGAAAAGGGAGGTAGAGGTGGGGCGATAGCTGTCCGAGTTGCCTACCTGCAACCTGTCGGATTGATCACAGGTCCATTGAAGCCGATAGTCCATAGTAACCGATAGGGAGAAGACGCATGGCCGCCCGGCCTTAGTAGGCGGTCCCTCTCCGCTCTAAAGTACGGCACCACCCAAGAAAACGCTCACTCACTGCGACATGGCACTCATGCATGGACGAGCTGGCTGTGGGGAGGGGGGGGAGGTGTGGGTTTGCAGGGCCAGGCCTGACGCTAAGGGACGCATCAACTTGCACCGCCGCCACCACCCAATCTCCTCCTCCCTCCATTCACGATCATTGTTTAGCTCCACTCCCCCCACCTAAACAGGAGTCAGCCATGTCAAGTTTCTTACACCCGTGCACCTTCTCTCCTCCCCAACCCTCTGTCCCCCATTCCTCGGCATATGCCACACACGAAAACCTACCTCAGGCAAACGAAGCCACTACCCATCACGGGCTACTACATAACCCCCATCCCCGCCATCATTTACCCCTCTGCAGAACCCCCCTCTCAAACCTCCCCCCTCTCAACCTCTCTTAACTCGCTGCCGCAGTAAGGTAGTTGGTACGCTGTTGGTTCTTGCCAGCCCCTAGCGCTCCCTAACCAGCACCGGCACCAGCACCACCTACATCACCTTGTCCACCGCAGTACTCAGCCTCACTCTCTTCCCGCCCCTTCCCCATCCCGCCATGCCTCCCCAGCTCTGGCCAAGGCCCTCCTCCTCCTCCTCCTCCTCCTCCTGCTCCTCCTGTCCCTCACGGCTTCCTCATCATCCCCGCCAGCGGTGTCGTACCAATGGGCTTCACGTCCCCGATATCGCTATTGCGGATGAAGTCCGCCCACTGCCGGGGCATCAGGTTGGCCAGAGTCACCGGGTCGGACCCGAACTGGAGGGCCACCTCCAGAGTCAACACGTCGTACAGAACCTGAAGGGCATGCGACACGACCCCAGGGGTTAGGGTTCTAGGGCTGGTAACCCACCGCCCTCAGGCACCCTGGAGGGGGGGACCCTCCGGCTAAACTCCTCAGTTTAGTTCGTTGGTGTGCCGTACCGTAGTTCAGAGTTTGACAATACGAGTCAAGGGGGAGAGGGAAAGGGGGGAGAGCGGGGGAGTCCACGTGCTAAAAGGGAAAAGCGGAGTGGGGAGGCAGGGGACCAGAGGGAGTCCTCACAAGCGAGCCCAGCTGCGGTGCGCCACCTGGGCACTGAGGTTGGCCCCCTGTGAGTCTGTCTGTGTGTGTGTCTGTGTCTCGACGGGTACCCCAGCAGCAGCAGCTCCCGCAGTAAGTCGGTTCGGTAGACCGACCGACCAAACCAAGTCCCAACCCCTCATCTTCCCTCCCCCCCCTCTACACACACCAACACACACACACACCAACACACACACACACACACACACCAAAAACACACACACACACACACTCGCACCTGCTCCACCGCAGCTCTGGTCTTGACCAGCTTGGGCTCCAGCGCTGTGGCTACTGCAGCGCTCTCCTCACTGCTCAACCACAAGTTGTCCAGGACGACGGGAAAGCCGCCTGCAGAGAGGAAAGGGGAGGGGAGGGGGGTGCTGGGAATACGAACTGCCGGCGCTGTGTGTGTGTGTGTGTGTGTTGACGTCATGTCACCCTACGGGAGGAGGGGAGTTGGGAGGGGGTGGGGAAGGGCCGGCCAGGGGAAGAGTCCCTCTCCCCCCCACACCCCCTTCCCGACCTAATTTGGTATGGTATGGTGGTTTACTGCTGTGCTGTGTGCTGCTGGACTGCCCGGCGGGAAATGGTCTCTGTCGTGGCCCGGGGCGTGGAGGGCAGCAGCAGGAGAAGGAGGAGGAGGAGGGAGTACATTGTAAGTACGAGCATGGAGTGGGTTGGGGCGGGGCGAGGGAGCGGTCGGGTTGTTTAATGCCGCTGCCAAGCTGTTTGGGAGCGAAGGGTGATAGTGGTGGTAGCACAGCCGTGGCAAGGAAACAACGAGTGCAACCGACCTCTCCCCCTCCCCTCCCCTCCGACTGCACCGCTCACCGGTGAGGTTACCCGCCACCTGTTGGTACTTGTCGGACAGCAGCTGGACCAGGCCATTCACCTCGGACTGAGGGTGTGGGGGGTATGGGGTGTGTGTGGGGGGGGAAAGACGTGTGTGTGTGGGGGGAGGTGGAGGGAAAGGGAAATTCAAGAGGCGGCTCGACTGGAGCTGCAATGAGGGAATTACTTGTAGTTAAAAAGGGGGGAAGGGAGGGGAGAGGGTGGGGTAGGAAGCGGGAGGACAACGGATTCGGACATCAACACGTCGCAACAAGGACATCACACAGTTCGCGCCCCAGGCAGCCTCCCTTCACGTTGCTGCTCAGCTGCCTCGCTCCCCCCCACCCCACCGCGAAGGCAGGCAACACAAAGGGGGTTCGCACCCAAGGGGCCCTGGTCCCGACCCCGACCCCGCGCAAACGCTAACCCCTACCCCACCCCCCAAACCTCCTGTGCCGTAGTCCTCAACAGGGGGTGCCGCTGCTGCTGCTGCTGCAGGGCCCTCAACCCGGAGCCCCCGGAGCAACAGGCCCCCGCCCCCGCCTCCTCCTCCTCCTCCCCCCCCCCACACACACGATGAATACGCCACCAACCAGACCACACACGCGACCTAAACCCCCTTACTACGCCCTGCATCCTCACAGACAGACAGATGGACAGGTATACACAAACAGTCCTCAACCTGTATACCTCACGGCTCAGCTCATTCATACACGATGCATACACACATATATACAGATACACAAGCTCAAAACCCAACCAGCTCCCTAATCGCCCCCCCCCCCACCCGCTGCTGCGGCTTTCCTTATTTCTCCCCCCCCTCAGGCACCCCAGCGCTCCCATTCCCCCCTCCCCCCCACCTCAATACCGGCCCACCTTGATATCCGCCAGCTTGTCCGCATTGCCCAGAGAGCGACATGCCCGACTGAATAGCCCGCCTAGCAGGTACTGGACCTGTCGGCGAGGAGGAGGAGGAGCAGGAGGAAGAGGAGGAGGAGGAGGAAAGCAGAGCGGAGGGCTAGAGGGTCTTTTCTAAGCGTGTGTGCGAAGGGGGTTGGGTGGGATTAGGGGATGTTCGGAAAGGTGGTGAGGAAGAAGCAAGGCAAAACCACCTCACGCCTCCTCCATTTACACAGCCCACTGGATCCCCACCGCCTTCCCCCACCCCCGGTACAATACTCCACACCAGTGTTTTCAAAAGTGGTTACTACGTGGTGAGCAAGTGGTTACTGAGAAAAAAGTTCACTGGGAAATGTTTCTTAGAGTCAGCTGCCAGTAGTAGAACCAGGTGGTGGTCGCCAGGAAATGGGGGCCACAGACCCCCCCGGGTAGTGGGGACCACCTAGAAATGTTTTCGACGCTTGGATGGGAGCAGTGATGCTCTACTGAGCTTGGCTCGGGAACACGTTGGCGTACATAGCGTCAAAGTTGGATCTTTGGATGCATGGTTCTAGTGGGCTCCTGTTCAGCATATACTCGCTTGGGGGAAAAGATTCGCAAGGTGGTTACCAAGGAAAACCCCCGCAGTAACCACTTGGTCACTAAAGGATTACCATCGGAAAAAAGTTTTAAAAACACTGCTCCACACCTCCACACTTCCGTTCCGTCCCCCACCCCCACCCCCCCCCACCACCACCACATCCCCATCCCAATCACCTGCTTTAGCCCGTCATCCACGGACAGGTGACTAATAATGCGGTCATGGATGCGGTCCGACTGCTCCGGGCGCTGCCACAACACGTGCTGCAACAACAAACAGTCGTACTCCGAAACCGTGTCGCGGCCGTTGCAGTACGCTGCCACCTGGGGAGGAATGGAAGGCGGGTAAGGGGAGGAGGAGGAGGAGGTGATGGTAACCAAGGTGATGGCAAAAAGGGCACAGTGGGTGGGTGGGTGGTGGGTTAGGCCTTAGAGTTTTGGGGTTTTGAGGGAAAGAAATGGGGTCTGTCCATCTCTCTGTCTGTATGTTTGTGTGTGTGGATGCTACAATCTGTTTCCCATCCCGCTCGCCTCCCCTCGTGTCCCTCCTGTACGGCAGCAAGGTCCGCAAGCTCCGTCAGCCAGTTGGGCCCCCCTTGGCCGACAGGCTGCCCCGCACTCCCCCTCTCACCTCCTGCCCTCCCCCCCACTCCCCACCCCCCCCCCACACACACCTGCAGCAGCTGTATGGACTTCACCAGACGGCGATCCGACACGTAGACGGGGGGCTCGAACCGCTCCTGGAGGGCGGGCGGGCGGGAGGCAGGAGGGAGGGAAACATATTTGCACTTCCAAGTCAAGAGGGGGGTGGAGAGAGGGAGGGAGGTAGCCGCAGCTAAGAGGGGAAGATGCCATCACCCGCGGCAGGAGGGCACATCTCCCCACCCGCCACCAGCGCCAACGGTGACTGCTTCCCGCTCACACACATACACACACAGAGCCTTTTTCCTCGTTCCATTTCCTTCGCACGTCGTGTTTCCTCCACAACACAAACCCAACCTCCCCGCCCCTTGCCTTCCCCCCCCGGTCGGAAAGGGCTCGGCGGGTCTCACCACCACCGCATGTACGCGGTACACACATACACATACATACACGCAATCATGTACATCCATCTGTGTAAACATCTACCCCACCACCTCCCCCTCCGCTCGACTCTTCCTGCCGACACGACATCCCGCACATTCCTCCCCCTCGCCCTCCCCCCTCATCAAGCGGCAGCAGCAGGGGAATCTCCCTCCCTCAACCCCTCACCCCCAGCCACCCAGCCAACCGGGTTTCACATCTTCTCCTGCGGTTCAAATTGGGTGACGTCACGGCCCCGCCGGGGCACAGTGCCCGCTGGTGTTTCTCCGGCCCCCCTCCATATTTCCCCCCGCCAACACACACACACACACACACACCACCACCACCTTGGTCATATTCCCGTCTGACGCCCCCAGAGCCCGAGTGGTCTTCATTTCCGGAAAGCCCCTCCGCGTCCCCCACCCTCGCCTTGACTTCCCTCTTCTCCTCTCCTCTCCTCCTTCAACCCTCCTCCTCCTCCTCCCCCCTCCCCTACTCGCAGACCTGCAGGTGAATCCGCAGGTCTGTGACCAGCTGAATGACGCTCTGCGGCACTCGTACGGAGGACAGCGCCGCCGCCTTGCAGCCAACAATGTCTTCGCGGGTGAGACGGAGGGCCGGGTCCACACGACGGGAAATGCCGGCGCCGCCTACAGCCTCAGAGCCCGAGTAGTACGTCAGCATCTGCGCAACGCCTGCGGGCGACACCTGCCGTACTTGCCGCCGTACAAGGAAACGGTCGTACAATGCATCGAGCTCCTCGCTCTCCGGCAACTCGTTGGAGGCCCCCACCTGTTCTCCAGCGAGGGGGAAAGAGGGAGCGGAAAAAGAAAAAAGGAATGCAGGGGAAGGGAATTGAGGTGGGGTTAGCAGAAAGGGCGGGGCAACTCAGGGGGCAGAGGGACATACACCGGGAAGAAAGAAGAAAAAAATATGCCGTACAAAGCAGCCGTACAATGTCCTGCGCTGAACGAAAGCAAGCGACTAACGTCGTGTGATAAGCGCGCTAGCAGGGGAAAGGTACGTTCCATGGTAGGTTCCTGTGTAGGTTCATCTATGTATGAGTGACTGCTTGCACTGCCGTACTTCCCCCCGCGCTTCCCCGTCTTCTCTCCCGCACCATGCTTATGAGAGGCACGGGTGTTCGCTTGTTTCCGTTGTCGAAGAGTCGCTCGTTGATGACGGTGAGCAGCGTATTGAGGATGGCGGAGTTTGCCTGGTCGAAGGGGGGTGGAGGAAGGAGGGGAAGAGGAGGTAGGGGGGCAGGGGGGTTAGGGATTGTGTTGTGGGTGGCACCACCAGGGCCCCTAGTTGGAGGGAAAGTGGAAGAGAGGGAAAAACACAATGTACGAGATGCAAATCCAACAGGGGGGGAGAAGGGGAGGGAGGGAGGGAGGACAATGCCCCAACCAAGACGAGAAGCAGGGCCCGCCCCTTGGGTTTCAAAGGTTGAGTCTGTCTGTCTGTTTGTGTGTCCGGGGGCACCACGGATAAATGGATTGACACCGAATGTGTTTCAGCACCCAACACTGTATCAAACCCGCTTCCTTCCAACCAGCCGGGAACCAACTTCTCCTCCTCCCCGCACCGCCACGCCTTCTCCTCCCCCTTCCTTTTCCCCCCTTCCCCCCCCCCACACACAAACCCTAGAAAGCCCGCTCGGCTTCGGTCTGATGGCGCAGAACCGAGGACCCACATCATCAGGGCGCGAAACCCTCCCATCCCGCCCAATGTACGGTAGCTACATGTACGGCGCCGCACCTTGAAAATTTCATCAATGAATGCGACCTCCGCGGTGGGCAGGTAGCCATCCACCTGGGAAGAGGAAGATTATCACGCAGGCAGTTGGGGGTTTTCACAGTTAGGTGGTTGACAGTTAGAAATACATGGCAGTTGGGGGTTTGAGCAGTTGTGCCTTGACACGCGCACACATCGCCCCACCTGGCGGATGTATTCGTCGTTCTCCAGAGCGCGCATTGACAGCGGCCCAAATAGCTCCTGATAAGAGGGAAATGCGGGCGGGAGGAGGGCGGGAGGAGGGCGGGGTGGGTGGGTGGGGGTAAGCAGATACCGGGGATAGACGGAAAGATGGGGGAAAGTCTAAGCACGTAAAAGATGGGGGAAAGACGAACCACAAACGAGTGGCAGAGGGGGACGAGAGAGAACACGGTGACGATATTGAACAATGTCAAGCGGCGCCACGAGCACGAAAGCAGAGCCCCTTTCCCCCACCTACGTCCCCCCACCTACGTTCCCTCCAACCGCCTCCCTCCCGCCCCCTCAGCCACCCGCCTCCCCTCCTCCTACCCACCTCGGGTACAGAGAACCTGGTGAGCAGCCGCTCAAAGTAGGTTCCGTCCACCAGGGTGTTGAGGCGGCGGCCCACCTCCGACTTGGCGGTACCCGGCGGCCCGATCAGCAGGATGTGCTCTCCCGCCATGGCGGCCAGGAGCAGCAGGCGCACCTGGAAGAGAGCGCGAACGTGTGGATATAAAAAAATGGGGAACGGAGTATCACATGCTCCGGGGGCAAAGAGCCAAGTCGTGAGCGTGAGCGTGTGTGTAGATGTGGGTGTTGCGGATGGGGTGGGTTGGGAAGGAGGGGAATCATTAATGTATATGGAGAAGCTCAAAATCCGACACCTCTGCAGGATGGCATGCGAGAGAGAGAGAGAGAGAGAGAGAGAGAGAGAGAAAAGGATGCTGGTAGGATGGCAATCGGGATAATGAAGTCCGGGAGTGGGGGGTTAAGTGGGGGTGCCGGAAGGGGTGCAGGAAAGTAGGAAGATGAGCGGAAGAACAGAAAGCGCTGTGAAGAACCCGCCAGCCGCCACCAGCCGCCACCAGCCCCACCCGCCCACAAACCCCCCTCCTCTCCCCTCGCCACAACCTCCTCGTCAAATGCGATTCCCCTAAACCCGCACACCGCACACTCTTCTCCCTCTCAACGCTTCCCCTCCCCACCTCTTGCATGTTCGCTTACCTCGTTTACCCCCTCCCCTCCCGGGCCCTCCCCCTCCCTCTCCCTCTTCCCCTCCCGGGCCCTCCCCCTCCCCCTCCCCTCCCGGGCCCTCCCCCTCCCCCTCCCCCCCCTCGCACCTCGGCGTCTCGCTCCACAAGCCCCTCCTGCATGACCCCGATGGCGTTCTTCAGTTTGGCCTTGAGCCGCTCCGCCCGGACCGCCAGCGCGGGGTCCCGCTCCGCAGCGCCTCGGGAACCGGAACCCCCCCCGGCCGCCTGACTCAGCCGGGACTTGACGGCCGCCATGGCCGCATCCACCTCGCCACGAATCGCCGTGATCTGGCGAAGAGGTGGAGAGGGACATTTTTTCGCAGGGCGACAGCAAGAATGCGCCAAGTTATGTGACGATAGTGCGGGAGGTTGTCAAGCTGATCGGCGCAAGAGCTCTCTTTAGCTGTGAGCGTAAAGGTGTGTGTTAGGGTGTTGTTGTTGTTGTTGTTGTTCTTCCTCTTCTTCACGATTCCAAGGGTCTTGGACCGGTTCAGGTGCCCCGCCTTTTTCTCCTCTCACGCCGTGCTGACGGCAGCACGCAGAGGCCACCTGACGGTCCAGAAGACCGACAATTCCCGCGCGCAATGGGTCTCACTCACTCCCGAGGGACTTCACCGTCTCTTCTCCCCCCTCCCGCCCCACCCGCACACTCTGGTGTCAAAAAGAGTCAACCCCCGAGTAAAACCCCAAGTCCTCCGCACACCGCAGTACCGGTACATAGTGAACCTCTTTGCCCCCCTCAGAGCTGGCTCTAGGTACTCTACGCACTCTAGGGACTGACTGCCGACACTGGTCCGCTTGGGATCGGGACCGCCGGCGGACCGCGGAGGTGGTCCTTTGTGGATGGCCTCATGCGTCTTTCACGGTTCCACCAAACTAGGATCTGGTCGTATACAGGAGGTGCGGGTGTGGATGTGTGCGGCTGATGAGTCTACTGAAGGCTACTTTTGTGTGGCGGCGCCGGAGCGGGGAGGCGGGGAGGCTCTGGTTCTGCAGGCCCCCGCAGGACTGGGGAAGCATGCGGCCCAGATCGGGGGCAATGCAAATAACCAAAAGCCGGCGCCCGGGCAGACAGCTAGCGCAGGTGCGTGGGGACAGACAGTATGTGGCGTGTGGGTATGACACGGGGACGCGGAGGTGTTTGGGGGAAGAAGCCGCTGCTAAGGAGGCTTTGGTTGCACCAAGATCCTTCGAAGTGACCTAAAGCCCGTTCTCCGAATTGGGCATTCTTGGGTGTCGCCATAATTGCACGCACAGCAGGCCAGAGGAACGACGGGGAGTGGGGAGGGCTATGACGCGAATTAGAGGGTGAAATGACGGGTGATGAGGCCGGGGAGACGTGTCACCCTACGGATCGTCCCAGGCTTTGCTTCATTTGAGGCTTCATGGGCGTGGGCGGAACGTGGGTAAGGGTTATGGCGAACTGCCAACCCAGACAGTCCTACATCAGCATTCGTCTTGCGCTCCCGCTCCATAAAGTCTCCGTACGCGCCTGAAAGCCGGCAAACATATTGGGCAGGAGCAGGGCATCATAATCAAACTTTGTCACAGAGAATTACGAATTGGGTACAGCTCGGGCAATGTAGTGTTTCTTCATCGGGACATTGCGAGCACCGCAGCTCTTAAACGCACCCGCAACGTAAACAACCCTTGCACGCCGTGCATTGTTAATCCGAGCTGAAGGCACGCGAGGCAGAGATGTTTGAGACGATGGAACAATTACATGGGCTAGTTGTCTAGGCTCGTGCCCTCGCCTTGTAAAGGCTGTCAGAGAGGAGTGGGCGGTCAGATGCATTAGTCTATTCGCCCAACCAACTCTAGGTATGAATTTGATTAAAACCTATATATCTTAACCAAAGGAAACTGCAATTTGAAGAACGAAGCCAAACCAATAGTGCAGAGAGTTTTTTGGAGGATAAAATCCGTAACGTGCGGCAGCTCGTGGAGGAATTCGCCCGCAGAAAACATTTTTCCGTGAACTCGCATGTAATAATATCCTAGTTTTCAATTGCGATTTCCGTAACAACACTGCAAAGTTGATGAAACACCACGGTCGGCGTGGCACGACCCACGGGCACCGCACGCAGCGGATCCCCCCTATTATCTTCCCTACGATTGCAATCAAATGATATTGGATATTTGGTATTAGCTCCATGCCATCGTGTGTCTGCGGGGCACTGCACAGGCAGTGAATTCAGCTGGAGAACCCCATGCCTTCCTACAGACGGGCCTTTGAGGGGGTTGGGGGAGAAGGACGTATGTATATTACATAAAGCTATGCTGAAAGTGGCACGCTTGAGGAGGTGGTTTCGGCGATTTCGCCGCCTGATAAAGACCGTAGGCTGGAAATCAATGGCTCTAGGTGGGCATGGCCACCTGCCCAAATGCTGCTGCCCTCCTCAATTCTGCCGCCCACCAGGCGGTTTGTAGCGCACGTGCTATTTCACGACAGGCTAGCCTTGCGATCAGTGCGATCAACATGCAAGTCCAGAAGCCTTTGACCCATCATGTTCCTTTGCGGACGTCCTGTTCCGACTGTTGTCCACTTGCTGCGCCGCTTTAGGTGTGTCCGTGTGCGCATTACGAGCGACACGGTATAGCATCAGGCAAGTGCGTATATAGTGCATAGGCCATGTCATCATCACACGAGGCCTCCCTCTCAAGAAAATTTCGGAACCATGTGCAGAACAAAATCCAGGGGCCTGTCAGTTGCAGGCCTGAGCTGCTTCCTTATCCACCGGTTTAGCTCGTGACTGCGGAGGTGAGGCTAGTTCCCACGGAGCTTAAACACGCCTGCCATGAAAATGAGATGGAGGCAAGGATGCTTCTTTACCCTGCCGAGGAGTGGGTGAGCTGCTGTACCAGATACCTGGCCTATCTGCCAATGCGTTGCCGAGGCGGTTCCCATGGCACAATCGCATCGCGCGTATCCTTCCCGTCCGTGGATGAACATGAGCCCTAGGATGCCCTTAATGTGCGTTTCGCTCGCTTGCCGCTTGTACGGCAGGTGCTGGTATCCAACTCATGGCTGTTACATAAGCCGCAGGTGCTACTGCCGGTGTAATATGGCTAATCCTAAGCAACCCCCACATCAGCCAGAAGTACGGGCTTTGGAAGCAGCACTGCTTTCAACAGGCCATTTTGCTCTTGGATGGCAAGTACAGCCTAAACATTCTCGTACGCACTCACAGGGTTCAGTCAGGCAGAGAGAAGGGCGTCAAGCGCTTGATCTTCCACGCTGGGCCCCCCTTGATCCCAGCTTCTACTCCCATAAAATGGTGTTCCCTTACTTATGACAAGAACCCCTGACGCAACCATAGCTTCGGGTGCCGTCCCTACTCCCAACCCCCCTTTACGGGATTAGCTTTGGGGGCCGATGTGCCGCATTAGGCCGGACAGCACTTAAACGGCGAGCACTGTGTTCCCTTGTCCTGAGGGCGATTCGCTGCTTGAGCGGCATCCCATGTCTATAGTGATAAACGCACGGGTAACGAGCACAAATGGCCAAGCGCTTCAATCCTCTTCCTGCGGCCTCCTTCAGCAAGTATAACCAAGCGGTAGGGCCAGCTTGTAGCTGTTCATTGGCAAGAGCTTACCGGCCAAGCAAGGTAACCTATGGAAGATACGGCCGATCACGGGCTAGTAGTCCGCCGTGGCCTTGTGGTCTGGCAGTACCATATTACTGAAGGAAAGCTTCCTGCCTTATCCAGTGGCCTGTGTATCATGTCTCCACCGGCCCCGCAACGCAATCAAGCAAATTTCGAAAGCTTGCTTTTGAAAGCTTGAAGAGAGGTCTTATGGACCCTAGTCGGTCACGATCCAGACACCAAACGTAACGAAAAAAAGGAATAATTAGCCGGGCTTGTTGATGCATATTCGCGGCTTTACATTATCCCGCCAATACGTTCACGTACGGCACAGGACATCCTTTTCACTCGAGCTATAAACTATCATCATCCAGATTGCTTGTTTTACCTTGCACCAGTTACTATCAGCACCAACCGGCCCTTGACTTCGCACAGCCTTCTAAAAAAGGTACGCGCGACGTGTTTAGCGTTCGGGCAGCCGCAGCTAGGAGGTTTGGTGGCTGCGAGGCCCTTCTGCCCCAGGATAAGAAGGGGATTAACTTCCGTTGCCATAACATGAAGTCCGGGGCCTTGTCCATGTTCGATCGCCAACGATGCAACCTATGCTGTCTTACCGCTGGGCTTATGCAGGGCAGCAACAATGGCTGAGGAGGGCGAGGTTTCTGCTCTGGTGTGCGACAACGGCTCGGGCATGGTCAAGGTACGTTTTCTGGCTGCTGCTCGGTTGGGCCCGGCCAGGCCCACCCCGCAGCCTTGCTGAGCTTTTGATGGATCGCATCTAACACGTGGCCCCTGATTTGTAGGCTGGCTTTGCTGGTGATGATGCCCCACGAGCTGTGTTTCCGAGCATTGTTGGTCGGCCCCGCCATACGGGTGTGATGGTCGGCATGGGGCAGAAGGTGAATAGAATGACGGCGATGCAGGCACGGACTCCTCGACATTTTTATAATGATCTTTTTGTTTTCGCCAGGATTCCTACGTGGGCGACGAGGCACAGTCTAAGCGTGGTATCTTGACGTTGCGCTACCCTATTGAGCACGGTATCGTTACCAACTGGGATGACATGGAGAAGATCTGGCACCACACTTTCTTTAATGAGCTTCGTGTGGCACCGGAGGTGCGTCTGCGTACTAGCTTCCTTGGCTTTCAGCTATGGACCAGTTCGACATTGACAACTGCTTTCCTTCCCAAATCTGTAGGAGCACCCAGTCCTTCTCACGGAGGCGCCTCTTAATCCCAAGGCGAACCGTGAGAAGATGACGCAGGTACGGATATTGTTTTATGCACATACCGTTGCGTTCGTTCCCAAGCTTGCCTCCCGATAATCTCCGTTTGCGCAGATCATGTTCGAGACCTTCAACGTCCCTGCCATGTATGTGGCGATCCAGGTGACGATTGGGGGAGGGGACTTAGTAATACCTCGATTGCTGTTGTTCGATTCACCCCTCTCATTTCGATTTGCGCACTTGGGGTGGCATCATGTTTCGTGCGTCGGGGTAGTTGTTAAGGGTGCAACCCTAGCTACTGCCACTAATGACAGTAGGAAAGTAATATTTAATTGCTGTCCTTCATGCTGACAACTGCAGGCCGTGCTGTCGCTGTATGCTAGCGGTCGTACGACGGGTATCGTTCTAGATTCCGGTGACGGTGTAACCCACACGGTGCCCATCTATGAAGGCTACGCGCTGCCGCACGCCATCCTGCGTCTGGACCTTGCCGGCCGTGACCTGACGGACTACCTGATGAAGATTCTAATGGGTGAGGCATTCGGATAGGGGGACCAAAATACCGTACCGCGAGAAATGGGTTATGAGTCGTGTGTTTTGACTTGTGTTGAACGGCTTCCCTTCGTTACAGAGCGTGGTTACTCATTCACGACCACTGCTGAGCGTGAAATCGTGCGCGACATCAAGGAGAAGCTCTGCTATGTGGCGCTGGATTTCGAGCAGGAAATGGCAACAGCAGCCTCCAGCTCGGCGCTTGAGAAGACGTACGAGCTGCCTGATGGCCAGGTGCGGCCGTAGCTAGACGCCGACGAATAGCCTAAAACTTTCGGTGATGATCAGCTTAGATACATTTGATTGTGTCGGCATTGCACGAAAAAAGTCGTTGTCCATAATGTTAAAATTGCCCTCTTTTCTCCCTGCAGCCAATCACAATTGGCAACGAGCGCTTCCGTTGCCCTGAGGTGCTGTACAACCCTAGCCTAATCGGCATGGAGGCGGTCGGTATCCACGACACTACCTTTAACAGCATCATGAAGTGCGATGTCGATATCCGCAAGGATCTGTACAACAACATCGTGCTCTCTGGTGGAACGACCATGTTCCCTGGTAAGCAATGCATACTACTGTTAGACTTCAGGACATGTTGTGATCGCATTAGCGATTAGAACCGGGTTAGCGCGGGACAGACAGGAGGTACGGTGTTTGGGGCTCGGGGAACTCTTATGAGGATGAATAAGCGGTTCTTAGCGTCTATGTCACGGACGGATCTATGGAATTCCGTCAGTATCTGGAGGCTTGCATGTTGCATCGCTCCCCCTGAACTCCATCGTCCTCCGTGAAGGTCACAGTGCCTTGACAAATGCGATCTGTGCTGTTGAACAATTGCAGGCATCGCTGATCGCATGACCAAGGAGATCACGGCCCTTGCGCCGTCTGCCATGAAGATCAAGGTCGTCGCCCCGCCGGAGCGCAAGTACTCTGTGTGGATTGGTGGTTCAATCCTGGCGTCCTTGTCGACCTTCCAGCAAATGTGGATCGCGAAGAGCGAGTACGACGAGAGTGGTCCGTCGATTGTGCACCGGAAGTGCTTCTAAGCATAATAGCTTGCGGACTGTTATTCGGCCTCTTTCGGTTATAACTGACCGGAAGCGGGTTACTCTTCAGTCAAGGCGGATGCCTATGATTTTGCAAAAATTCGAGCGGAGATGTCATCTTGGTTTCAAGCTGCGTGGGTGAGAAATCAACTGTGGGATCCATGTCGACAGCTTAACAACAGTCTCTACCATTTCATGGTATGCGGCTGTAGCCGTAGGCGAGTACGTCGTCATGAGCAGCGGTAGTTTGATCGTGCGAAGTAGTCTGATAGGGGCAGGGCGCGTGGGGATGGCTAATAGAACGAAGAGGATGTGTGCATTCAAGCGAGTGGATGTCGGCGATTGGTCTAGGCCAAGCAAAGTGCGTGTAAGGGAAAGCTGGATGACACGACCATTGCTCGTGTGCTTTCGGAACTTCCACTCTTGAACTCAGGCCTATGCGCTGCCTTGAGTATCCTGCCGGATAAAAGGCGGGAGGCGGTAACGTTAGTAGACCCTTCCAGGGGTATAAATGGTCAATTACAACAAAACTGTAACATAACGAAGCGCTGCACGTAGTACGAAATCCGTTGCAAACGTGAAACCCAGCTACTTGCCAATACTTAAACGCGCATCAGCATTGTGTACAAGAACGTCAATGAGGCATTGCGTAAATTACACATGTGAGCACTAAGAAAAAGCAGCTGTATGTTGTCACGTTTATTCACTAGCGCACAGCCCGCAAGTAAGCGGTGGGCAAAGCCCAGCTTTGGTACAAAGCTTCCCATCAAGCACGCCAGAACTCCTCGGAGAAGTTGCCACACCGTCACCGCTGCCTTTCGACATGGGACAGCCGACAGCAAGTCGCCAACGGTTGGATATGCAATCAGTAGCGCGATTGCCATCATTGGATCAGTAAGTTGTATTTGCTTCTGCAATCTTATTTGAGACGACAGCTTGGTTCCGGATTAGGGTTAGCTTGGAGGGATGCGCGTGCTGCAATTCAGCTGCCTGCTCCTGTTAGAGCAAGGAAATTGAACTTGTCACATTGAATGTCTAGGTTTTGTGTATAATCGGATAGAGAAAGTAGGCCGGACGAGTTGCAAGTCTTATGACCGTTAACGTGTCACGAACGGTCACGTGTAGATTGCAAGAGTTGGCAGCCAATTCATGATTCCTTCCCTGCAGTGCGGCACAACGAATTTTGTCTTTTATTCTTTTGATTTTGCCTTGGCGACTCGTGAGCTGTTATAGTCGACGAACGGCTTTTCGTCCGTGTTGCACCATTTCTAATTTATCTATGGAATCGATGGAATCCGGATGCGAATCTCCAATTGTTCAGGCTCAGGGAATCCGCCATCACGTGAATACCGTGACGCGTTTTCGGTTTCTCGTTGCCGCAGGTCGTGGAGGAGGGTTTGTCGAGGCTCCGGGGGACTTTCCGGCGGGGTCCAGAGCTGCGGCAGCTGCTGCAGGTAATGCAAAGCCGTGAGGAAATAAATCGGCGGGCGATGGACAGGAAATGGATCAACCTCGCCCGGCGTCTTCTCACGCCAAGACATACTGTACGCGTGTGCTGCTCGGAGCGAAATTTACCAGTACAGCTTTCCGAGGCCAAATAGAAGCATTGAGACTTGACAATTAGGTGGCTACGCTACCGCTACGGGTTGTTCCCGCAAGGTCAGATAGCGTCGCAGCCTTAGGTGTTGGGAAGGTTGGCAGCCCCTGGGCTCGGCCGACAGGTCCATGCTCACAAGCCCCTCTTTCCCTCTCCCCCCACCCAGGCGGGCCAGGTGGCCGCCTCTCTAGCCTTTGTGGCGCTTTACATCTGGAGCACATACGAACCCGCCGCCAGAGGGTCATGGCGCCACACCGCCGATCTGGCCCTGTCAGTGGTGTTTGCGGTCGACATGGCGACGAGAATCAAGGTACGGCACGGCACTGTACAGCTCCGTACCAAAAGAAAAGAGCAGCCCGGGAGTGCAGCTTCGTGGGAGTTCATAATGACGAAGCGCGACCAGGTTGGAGTGATTGGTCTGTATTTGAGTGACCGGACCCATACTGCCGTGGCAGGGTCTGAAGCACCCCGCACGAGGGGGCCCCCGTCCCATACACATCACACTATGCCACGTACCACACACACACAGCCCTACCCTGCACGGGTCCCGTTTCTGAACCCACCCACCCACCGTCCCGCCTGATCTCCCCCTGCTGCTGCTACCGCCGTTGTGATTTGCGTCCTCAGTCGGCGGGTTCTTCCTGGCTGCACATGCTGGTCACTCCGCACAGCCTGCTGGATGTGGTTTCATTCGCCCCGGGGCTTCTGGAGCTATGCGGGGCGGGGTGGCTGGGGGTGGGGCTGCAGGGTGTACGACTGGATTTGAGGTGGTTTCGGATTTTCAGGTGGGAAGTGAGGTGGGGAGGGAAGTGAGGTGGGGAGTGAGGTGGGGAGGGAGTGAGGTGGGGAGGGAGTGAGGTGGGGTGGGAGTGAGGTGGGGAGGGAGTGAGGTGGGGAGGGAGTGAGGTGGGAAGGGAGTGAGGTGGGAAGGGAGTGAGGTGGGAAGGGAGTGAGGTGGGGAAGGAGGGAAAACCCTACACTGAACCCCCCCAATAGCTCTGTTGCGTCCTCCTCTAATTCCTTCCTTCGCCTGGCGGCCACCCCCCCCTTCCCCTTTCCCCCTCAGGGCGCTCCGGCTGCTGCGGCTGTGTTTGCTGACCGGCAACCTGCCCCTCATGAAGCTGAGTCGCTCCGCCCTCCTCAGTGGGGCTGTGAACGTGCGGCTGATGCAGGTAGGGGGGGGCCCTCCTTCACCTGCTTAGATGTCGGGGCAGTTTGCCCCTTGGTCAGTTTTCCATCATCACCATTATCATCACCATTATCATCATATCATTATCAGCAATACCATCATTAGCGTCATCACATGATTGCCTTTCCTCTTCCCCTCCTCCCCTTCCCCTCAGCAGTGTTCCATTGACCTTTGCACACATCCCCATTTTCCCCTTTTCCCCCTGCCAATGCGCACAGCTTGTGGCCAGCGTGTTGGCGCTGCTGTTCACATCCGCCTCTCTGGTCCAGGCGGTGGAGAGGCTGCCCTGGCATGACGCGCTGTACTTCGTGACCACCACACTGACTACGGTGGGGTACGGAGACGTGGTGGTTAAGACAACGGCGGGTGAGCGGCGGCGAGTCAGGGGGGAGAGTGGGGGTGTAGTGGAAGGGGGGGATTAGGGGGTTTGGGGGGGGCCAGTCGTGGGATGTGGGAACGGTGTTGGAGAGCACCTGCCCCTAAACAGGCATCCGGACGGACCAGGTGCCGTTCAGGTAGGACTCACACACTCTTGGCTGCGTCACCCAGACACACCAGGCTGACGGAATTCAGACACTGTGCATTCTTCATTCATCCACACACTTCATACGCAGCCCACAATAGTGGTACGTCTTTGGTGGGCGTGATGGGGCAAACTTGAAAGAATTAAATACGGAGCTTCTTTCACAAGACAACACAGCGAATGGAAAATGGATTTGTATGCTGTTCGTACCCGTACTGACAGTACAGCCCCTATTTCCCCCCCCCCCCCGTCCTTCGCCCCCAGGCCGCTTGATCGTTTTGGTGTTCATGGCGGTGGGTGTGGTGCTCATCCCTGTCCGGACCTCCCAGCTGTGGGCCCAGTTGGCGTCACGCCGCATCACGGCGGGCACACTGACCCCCGGCCGACCCGTGGTTCTGCTCAGCAGCCGGCTGACGGAGGTCCGCGGCTTCGCGGACCTGACCGAGGAGTTCTTCCACCAGGTGGGGAGGGAGGGGGGGAGGGGGAGGGGGGGAGGGAGGGGGGGAGGGGGGGAGGGGGAGGCTGTACTTCAGAGGGAGGGGTATATGATTCTGGCAGCCCCACCCTCATGCATCCTTCTCATCACCCAGGTGTCTGCCGACTTCTGTGAAGTCAATATGACATTTTCGGGTTCAGCACCTACCACTGCCACCGCCACCATGCATGTCCGTATGTCCGTCTGTATGTCCAGGTCCACCACCAGCGGTTCGTACCCCACAATGTGCACCTGATGGTGCTGGGCAACAAACCGTCGTACGAGTTCGTCGCGTTCCAGGTGCGTGTGTATGTATGTGTGTGTGTGGGCTGGGGTTGGGGTCGCGCAGGAGAGGATGACATCAAAGTGCAGGGGGAGTGAGGGGGGAAGGGGAATCATACACACATCGTACATACACACATACCCGCACAAGGAAGATGCAAACAACTGTTGTAGAGGGGGACGAGGGGGAGAGGGAGGCAGTGCGGCTACCGTAACGTACCGTGGACGGATAAAAACGTGGGTGGTGGTGGTTGGGGAGGATGCAGTCCTGGTGTCTGTTGGTGCAGTGCGACCCAGCACGGTGTGCAGCTCAGGTCACCGTCCGCAGCCCCCCATAGCTGTGTAGTGTTTACCTGGTTTCCCCTCCCCTCTTTCCCCCCCTTTTCCCCCTTACATGCATACATACATGTACATGTGTGTATTAATGTTATCAGGAGCTCCACGAGCAGCGCATCAGCCTGGTGGAGGGCAGCGTGCTGAGTGCTGCGGACCTCGTGAGGTGCCGGGCGGAGGCGGCGGCGGCGGTGCTGGTGCTGGGGGACAGGTTGGGGGGGGGACCGGGGGCCTCTGGAGTGGCGAAGGGGGAGGAAGGGCGGCGGGAGGGGAGGGGGATGAATGGAAGGAAGAGGGAAGGCGGGTGGCGGGCTGCGCTTTTTCCCTTGGCTTGTAGCGCGATCAAATACTGGTGGTGGTGCTTTGTTGCCGGGCGCGGCAAACAACCTCCGACATGTGCGTAGATGTGTATACGGAGGAGGAGGTTTCGTGTCTTCCTTTCCTTTTGCCTCAATACCCTCCCTTCCTCATCTTGAAGCCCCCCTCATGACTTCTTCTTCACAACCGCCGACTGCTTAGTTATGCCTTCTTTACATCGGCCGCAGCAGTCTTTCCTTGTCATCAGCTTCACTCGCTCGTGGTTCGTCTTCCCCTCCCCCCTCCACCCACCCCGGCAGGTTCGCGCACGATGCGGCCGCGGAGGATCTGGACGTGTTGTTCCGGGTTTGGGCCATCAAGAGCTACACGAAGTGCGTGCCGCTGACCGTGCAGGTGATGAGGAGGGGGAGGGGAGGAGGGGGGGAAAAGGGTTGGGTGGGAGGAGAGGGTACTAGGGAGGGCGAGAGGACAGCAAAAGGGGGCCTGGTAACTCGCTTGTGACACCCCCCCGCAAACACCCCCTCGCACTCGCCAGCTCCCTCCTCTTCATGCTTATCAGCAAACAACAACAAACACAAACGCCCTTCCCCCCTCCACCCCCTCGCACCACCCCAACACGCAACCTCTCCCCTACCCCCGCCCCCGCTATACACACACACACACACACACACACACACACACACACGCACACGCCCCGTCAGGTCCTCCGTGCCTCCTCCCTGGCCAAGGTGTCCCCCTTCCTGGACGCACACCAGGACGTGCTGATGAGCGTGGAGCAGATGCGTCACCGCCTGCTGGCCCTGTCCGCGCTGTGTCCGGGGGCCAGCACGCTGCTGGGGAACCTCCTGCACACCGCCCAACCCGGGGGCAGGGGAGGGGGAGGGGGAAGGGGGGAGGAGCTGCGGGTAGGTAGGGGGGGAGGAGGGGCAGGGGGGGTTGGGGAGGCGATTTTGGTGGTGGGGGGGGGGAAAGGGAGGTTTGGGGTCCTGGGAAACTTGGGGGGGAAAAGGGGGGGAGAATGTGTTTAATCGTGACGTGGCGTGAGTGGGGATTGTGCGTGAGGGCTGTAGCAGAGGGAGCAGCAGCAGTAGCAGTTTGACGACAACTGATATGTACACAACTGTAGCAACTGTAACTTGGTTATGGTTATATATAATCGTCCGTCGTAAGAAGCAACGGACGATTGGACACACCCTTGTACGTGTGTATTGTTTTGTGTGTGCGTTTGTGTATGTGTGTATGTATGTATGTATGTATGTACGTTCGTGTGGCACCGCCAAGCTGGTGCGAAGGGCAGGAAACAAAGCCCATTGTCCCACAACTACACCGCTACACCTTTGGAGGGTAACGCAACTCCAGGAGGTGCAATACACACACACACACACGTGTTACCCGCTCAAGGTCCAAACCCCCTCCCTCGTCTCCCACACTCCTACAGGACAGTGTGTTTCGCCCACGCGGCTCCCCCCCGCCCAAGCTCGCGGGTCGAACCTGGTTTGCCGAGTACGTCCGGGGTTGCGGCCATGACCTCCACCTCATACCCGCCAAGGGAGGGCCCTCACCCCCCTCACCCTCACCCTCACCCTCCTCCTCCTCACCCTCCTCATCGTCATCAACTGCCGGCTCGAAGGGGGGCCGGGGGGCTGGCAGTCGCAGTGATGCCGGTTTGGTGGGATGCTCGTTTGGATCGGTCGTACGCGCGGCTTTCCAACAACGACATGTGCTGGTCATTGGTGGGTCGATGGAAAGCCCCCAATCTCCCCCGCGGGGGGGGGGAGGCCCGATTGGTCCGTTGTGCCATGTTTGGGGCTTGTACGGCACTTTGCGGCTTTGGAGGTGTTGACCTCCTAGACATCGTTTTCTTGCGTCGTCGTCGTCGTCGTCGTCGTGACCAATATCACCATAATCACGTCATCATCATCGTCAACAGCGCACACTCACACAACATAATCCACTCACCCAATCTCCCCATCATCCAAACACCAACCACCCACCGTAAAGGTGCGAGCTCCAGCTTCAAAACCCTAATGACCACCCCACCGCTGGTAAACCGCTGTATAAAGATCCCAATCCGATTTGAACCCATAACAAGGCCCAGTCCCAGCCCCCCATCCCACCCCCCAACCCTGCCCAACTGTCACGACGCTCTATACCTTCACACAAACGTTTCGGTCTCCCCCACCACCGCCCGAGCTCTCTGGTATCTGCCCCAATCTTCAGTGGTTCATCTTACCCTCCCACCCCCTTGCCAGGCCTGCTCGCGGGTGACGGCTTCGGCCGCCTGCTGCTCAACCCGCCTCACAGCCGCCGACTGGCCCCGGCGGACCAGTTGCTGGTCATCGCACACAGCGAAAAACACGCACTGGAAGTGAAGGCGCCCACCGTCGCGGCGGCGGCGGCGGCGGCGACACAGCAGGCGGAGGCAGAGGAGGAGGCGGTAGCGGCGGCGACGGCGGCCGCGGCCGCGGCCGCGACGGCAGCAGCAGCGGCTCAGGCCCGAGAGGCCGCCGACGCCTTCGGTGGCGGCGGCGGCGACGGCGGGGGTGGTGATTTCAGCGATACAGACACACAACAACAACAACAACAATTCATGCAGCTGCAGCAGCAGGCGGCAGCCGCCACCGCCACCGCGGCGGCGGTTCCACCGTCGTCTGCTGACGTCACCTGCACTGGTAGCGGCGGCGGCGGCGGGAGTGGTAGCGGCGGCGCGGCCCGTGTGAAGCGTTACTTCCCCTCCCTGGCGTCGTGGGACGAGGACGTACCCGATTACTACCCAGACAAGGAGGGAACGTTCTTTTCCGGACAGTACGGCGATGCTAGCCGCGACGGCGGCGACAGTGTACGACGGCAGCGGGGGGGTTGCGAAGGCGGGTTCTGGAACGGAGGCGACGGCGACGGGCCGGAGGCGGCTGAGAAGGATGCGGGGCGGATCGGCCACGGGGGGGAGTGGGTGCTTGGGGGGAGGGGAGACCGTGTCGAGCCAGGGTTACGTCGTCGTACACCTGAGCCGGGAGGATCCAGCAGTGGGGATGTGATGTACGGCATTACGGAGGTGGATGCGTGGAAGCAGGAGGACGTCACACCTGAATCAGAGGACGGCTGTAGCGAAGGTGGCGGCGCCGCCGGTGCTACCGCCGCTGTCGAGCCCCGTGTCAGCCTATTGCAGTTCGCCGGTACTCGCTACTACCCAGCTACTGCTGCTACTGCCAGCATCGATGGCGGTAGAATTAACAGCAGCCGCAGTTCTGTTGGCAGTAGCAGCGAGAGCGGAAGAAACGCGGTGGGCTGTCAGGATAGCGGAGCGGCCCTGCCGTACTTGAGCAGCGTTAGCAGCAGCAGTAGCAGCAGCAAGGACGACGGGGACGGCAGCAGAAGTGGTGGCGAGGGGGGCGGCGGCGCCAATGCCCCGAGTATTACTGGCAGCGGCAGCCTGGCGGTGTTCACGTCACCGTACCTCGACAAGCGTGTCGTACCGACGGAGGCCGACATTGGCGCCGTACATACCGCCGCCGCGCCGGCGCCCACTCCTTCCGGGCCTGGCGTACGGACGCCGTACAGCGGCAGTAGTGGCAGCTTATCCTTTAGCAGCCGCATCACCAGCGGCGGCGGAGGCAGCATCGGCGCGCGTGTCGGGATTAGCAGTAGCAGTAGCGTTGGCGGCTGTAGCACTCGCAAAGGGAAGAACTCCGGAACCCCCAGCGGCGGCAGTAGCACCCACCAGACGGGATATAGAGGTGGAGCTGCTGCCGTTGCCCTGTGCACAAACCGGGTCGACGACAACAACAGCAGTAGCAGCAGCAATAGCAATGGTGGTGCCATCGGTGATGGCGGCAGTAGCAGTAGTGGTCTTCCTCGTCGTCCTGCTGCTGCTGCCAGCCCCGGTAACGTCAGTGCGGCTACAGCCAGTGCGTTTCAGACTGTGCGGCACCAGCCGCCGCCAAACCCCGCGGGCCGCCCGTACACCCTTGCAGTGAGTCCGGGAGGGCCGTGTCTGTGTGTGTGTCTGTCTGTGTGTCTGCCTGTGTTTGTATTTGTTCGTTTGCCAACCTATTTCTCTGTCGATTTGTGTCGGCTTGATTTTCTGTCTGTCTGTCTGTCTGTCTGTCTGTCTGTCTGTCGCCAGGTAGTTAGCGAGAGTTGCATTCATGTAGGCCGGATTCTCGCTAGGTTCGGTTAGTTTTACATCATCACCATCGTAACGGTGATGCTCCCGTCCAACCCCGTCCAGCAGTTGCTGCCGATACGCCGCAATAGCTCCGACAACTCCAAAAACGTGTCGGCAGTCGAACTTTTGCTCCTCCTTCATCATCATCATCATCATTACCACCATATGAGTATCTCCCCACACCGAAGCGCCATCCCGTGTGTGCATAAGTGTGTGTGTGTGTGTATATGTATGTATGTGTGTATCAGGACGCCCCCTGGCGGCAGCCCCCTCCCGTCACCTCTTGTCCCGCGGGGCGGCGGGGTCACCTCATCCTGGCCGGGGCCATTGACAGCTTTGTGGAGTTCGCCCGGGTGTTGCACAGCTGCGCCGGGATGAGAGGTGGGGGAGAGGGGGGGGAGAGGGGGGGGGAGGGCTCCCGGGGGGGGAGAGGGGGGGGCGCCGGG